TTATTTATTTTATGCACACAGAGTCTACTCCAGCCAGCTGGGCTAATTCATCATCATTACCTAATACTTTCTATTTTTTTCCTTCCTTTTTTTTTTTTTTTTTCCTTTCAGAAAAGAGCTATTCCCAGCTGGTATTTATGTCCACGACTGCTGGGAGCTTATGGAACTTGCAAGCTATCCAGTCCATGTGTCAAATCGAACAAGACAAGGTTAGTAATGTCACACAGAACATACATACATGCTGTCTCTTTCCTGACTTCCCCATCTTCAATATCTAGCTGAAAGGAAATAGCAGACAAAAATAACGTAAGCTACAGAACAGGCTTCAGCCTAGAGGACTTCAAAGCATTTTACTGACTTAGCAAAACAAGAATGATTTTACCTATCAGCTGGTCTGTAGTGATGTAGCAGCTGCCACTGAACAAGAATAATCAGACCTTGAACAAGAACTTGGTCCAGAAGCCAGCGATGCCCATCAGAAGCTGCTGTGAATTTTGAGCAGCAGAACCTAATTACTAAAATGGAGCTATTGTCGTGGAGACTGCCACAGCAAGCTTTGCAAGTGGGAGGTTTAATTGGATTAGCTGTGTTTGCTGTAGGATCTGTAATAACTCTAAGTGATCAGACCCAAGAAACCTCTGCTGCAAGAGCCTGACGTCCCGCTGGCAGGAGGCAGCATGTTCACACTGCACCCTGCCAGGTGTGCAGCTCAAGAAGCCTCAGCCAAGTCAAGTTTTAAGTCACCCCACAGCATGTAGGTGAGTGCAGGCTCCCAAACCCACCCACCTCACTGAATATTGCACTCTGAGCCTGAGCTGCCAGTGATACTGCCAACACCACCCTCGCTGCTGTGCTGTGCCTGCAGCAGCTGTCAGGCCAGTAACAGCCAGTGATGGTACTGGCAAGTCTAGTAATAATATAAGGCATAAAATAAAAATTAAAAATAAAATAAAATAAATAAAATAAAATAAAATAAAATAAAATAAAATAAAATAAAATAAAATAAAATAAAATAAAATAAAATAAAATAAAATAAAATAAAATAAAATAAAATAAAATAAAATAAAATAGTAGAAGGTGTCTCTCCTCTCTGTTCTAGTCTTGCAAACAGTGAAATGAAGGTCACTGCTGTCACTAACTGAGTGGAGAAGGATCCACATTTTCAAATCAGAGGTTATAAAATATAAATAGTGAACAGGGTTTCATTTTTGAGCATTTTTACCAATAGCTTTAGCATGGGCAGTTTGTCACTGGGAGGATGACAAGCCATGGCTTGTATGCCAGGAGGGGAGGGGATGATTACTGCAAGAAGCAAAGAACCCCATAGGGCTGCAAAACGAAGTGTGCAGAGGATCTGACACGATGCTCCCTCGGCTGTTTTTCAGATACGTTCACATGTTCATTTTAGAGACCTCTGCCAACGTACCGAAGCCAATGAATGCTGCCCAAGCTGGTCTCTGGGAAACTACATCGCTGTCCTGTACAACAGGTCCTCTTGTTTGGAGATAACCCAAGGGGACATCTCCCACACCCTAGGCCCTCCTTCGTGCCTGTGCTCCAGACTACCACAAGGGTATCCTCACTCCATCTTGCATAGGTCCTGAGACTGTGAGACAGAAACACTCTCAGTGTGCCAAAGTCCCAGAAAAATGTACCCGCTTCAATGCTATCTACCAGCTTCTTCACTTCTTGGTCGACAGAGACTTTCTTAGTCCCCAGACAATGGAGTACCAAGTGCCATCCCTCAAATACAGCCTGCTGTTTTTGCCTACAAGGAAAGGTGCATCTATGATGGGGATCTACTTAGACAATCTTGAATCCTGGGATCTGTTTGATAACTATACATCTATCACTGGAATGGACCTGGGCCTTAAACAGAAACTATTCCAGCACTACCTTTTACTGGATACCAAGTATCCAGTTCTGGCAATATTAGCTATTTTTCTAAGCATTTCTTTTTATTTACGCTCAGTCTTTATTACTCTGATGGTCCTGCTCGCTGTTGTCAGTTCTTTGATGATCTCCTACTTCTTGTACAAGGTGGCCTTCAGATTCACCTACTTCCCTTTTGTAAACCTGACAGCAGTCATCATTCTCAGCAGCGTTTGTGCCAACCACACCTTTGTCTTCTTTGACCTCTGGAACCTCAGCAAGAGCCAGAACCCCTCCGCTGGGCTTTCTCAGTGGGTGAGTCAAACCATGCACCACTTTGCGTATCTCATGCTGGCGTCTTGCTTCACGATGGGTGCTGCCTTCTACGCCAGCTACATCAGCAATATCACAGCCATCCGCTGCTTTGCTGTCTACATGGGCACCTCTGTGCTGGTGAACCTGGTATTCATGATGACTTGGCTGCCTTCTTCAGCTGTGCTGTATGAGCGCTACATAGCAACAACCTGCATTTACAAGCCAGAAGACTACTGGAAAAACACTGGCCATAAGAGAGTCGCCCTCTCCCTCCATTACATTCTCAGGGGTCTCCAGAAGACGCTGTGTGAAACCTCCAAGCTGCTATTTGAAAAGCTTCTGCCTTGCGGGGTGATAAAGTTTCGGTACATTTGGATTTGCTGGTTTGCTGCCTTAGCAATAGGAGGTGCCTACATTTCCTGTTCCAACCCGAAACTCAAACTCCCGACTCTTGAGACGTCATCTGTTCAGGTGTTTCGGCTGAGCCACCCCTTTGAGAGGTACGATTCTGAGTACTGCCACCAGTTCATGTTTGAGAGGCTAGAGCATGGAGAAGGGCAGCATATGCCTGTCACGATAGTCTGGGGCATTCTGCCCGTGGATAATGGCTGATCCATTTCAACCCAAAAAGCAATGGCACCCTAGTGACTGATGCCACCTTCACAATCCAAAGCCCTGATGCCCAGAAGTGGCTCCTTGAATTCTGCCAAAAGGTGAAGAACCAAACTTTCTATTTCCCTGATGCAGAGCAGAAGTCTACCTGTGTGCTTCATGGAGGAGTTTATCAGGTGGATGGATAGTCGGCAGTGCTCCCAGCGAGACCACAGCTTCAACCTTTGCTGTAACCAGTTCTCTTTCCCTTACAGAAGCGAGGTCTTCCTGCACTGCTATCAAAATGATGCTCCTGGAACAAGGCAGGGAAGGGGCAGAAACATATGATCTGGGCCTCAGGTTTGACTGGAGAGGGAAATCTTGCTGCCTTGGTACTGCAGTTTCAAACCATTTATCACTATAGCTTCAATTACAGCAAAGCCAAACACTTCTATGAGGAAATCAACCTCTGGGTAACAGAGGAAATGAAAACTGCCCCCGTGGGGCTTCAGAATGGGTGGTTCACCAGTAAACTAGAGCTATACAACCTCCAGCACAGTCTGAGCACAGAAACGATGGTGGTCATGGGGCTCTCCATAGCCATTTCCTTCGTGGTGCTGCTGCTCACTACTTGGAACGTTCTCCTCAGCATTTTCTCTGTTACTGCCATTGCAGGCACCGTGCTGGTAACTGTTGGCCTTTTGGTCCTCTTGGAGTGGCAACTCAACGCGGTGGAGTCTCTCTTCATTTCAGCTGCAGTAGGTCTCTCTGTTGACTTTACCGTCAACTACTGCATCTCCTATCACCTGTGCCCCCATTCGGACCGCCTGAGCCGAGTGGCCTTTTCCCTGAAGCAGATGAGCTGTGCCACAGCGATGGCAGCTTCTGCCCTCTTCTCCGCTGGGGTCATTATGCTGCCTGCTACGGTCCTGGCATATCGGAAGTTAGGTATATTCATAATGATGATCAAGTGTATCAGCTGTGGGTTTGCCAGCTTCTTCTTCCAGTCACTGTGCTGCTTCTTTGGCCCAGAGAAGAACTGCGGGCAGATCCTTTGGCCTTGTGCCCACAACATGAAAGACTATTCTGATGACTCTGGGCCAAATGGAAGCTATGCCTGTGGGGGAAATGAGAAGCAAAACCGATTGCGGAAGGTCCAGGAGTCCAACACCTGCAAATGAACAGTATGAGCTCCAGCCTTTGTCAAGAAAACTCAGCGACAGTTTTGACAACAGCACTTCTACAAGCAAGCTGTCCAACAGGCCATCAGTGCTCTCTGAAGACACGCAGGTTGAAGATAACAGATGCCCAAGAATAGGAATGCACCCTTCCCTTAAAAGAGAGAGACAGAATCTGCAGGAGACCCTCGGAGACCAGCAGGTTGGCCTGTGCCAGTGTCCTGCCTTGCAAACTTCCTCTCCTTACAAGCACAGCAGCTCAGGAGCAGAAATTCACAGGGAGAGACTCTGCAGAGATTGTCAGTGTCAAAAGTACGGTCCAAAAGCTTGGGATGGATCTGGGCTGGACTATATCCAGCCAGCTGGTGTGAAAGAAGAAGGGCAGCTCAATAAATCACAGTGCTCTAGTGACACTGCCCAGCAGCAGTCGGATTATACCTCAGACAACAGCCATCTTCCTGCTGCTGACATCTACAAAATTCACAGATGCCTTTGTTCTCTTGGCAGCTCTTTTGACATGCTCAACATCTCCAGTGAGACATCGATTAGCGATTTCGAGCAAGGCCTAAAGCTTGCTGAATCAGCCAGTTCTTGTCCTGATGTCTTAGAGCTGTCTGATTCGTACAGTCAAACAGAAAGAGGTTACTTGAACGGGAAGAGAGATACCCTGCGGCTGGACCTGAGGGAGACAGTCTTTGATATCTCTCCAGCAGCATCGCAGCAAAACAGCTCTTCATGGAAGAATCGATTTGGATTAGGGAGCGAAGGCCCGGTGGTGTTACCGAACAGCCAACCAGACATGCCTGATGTTTGGATCAAGCGATCCAGCGCACAAAGTTCTGGTTACAACAGCTGAAATCTTGCAGAAAACAAAACTGTACTGCTAGGGAAAGGGGAAGTCAAAATCTCCTTGGAACTGTAAATATCACTTTCCTCCCACCTCTCCTTCGGCTGAGACTATTTCTTAGTATTTCAGCTGTGCAAATACCTGTGTTTTCACAGAACCAGCAAACACAATACTAGTGAGAGGGTGCGAGATCAATCATGACAGAGTACAAGCCCTTTGACCTTCCAGTGTCCTGTGTCATGTTCACAGCTGTACTGCAGAACTTATCGAGTAAACCTGTTTTGTCATTTCCTAAACAGTGATTCGATTTTTCTTGTCAAGCTGCCTAGGAGAGACATAATGAGAGAGATGAAACTCCCCAGATATTCAAAGACAGAGAGCTCATGGAAAAAAAAAAAAAAAAAAAGAAGAAGAAAACAAAAGAAAAAAAGCAAAGAAAAAAAAGCCAAAACCCAAACCTGCAGCTATAGAAAATCTAGATTTCAAGTGGAGTGTATTGTTAAAAAAAAAAAAAGTCTTTCATTTTTTTACTGAATCAGAAACTGCTTTATGTGAAGTCCAAGTTCACAGATCTCTACAAAACCGATACAAAAAAATCTCATCAAGACCTTTCAGTTGATGCAGCCTCTTATCGATCATGAAGGAGGCTGTAGAATCAAGCCCAAATCTATTTTTAGGAACAGTTTCAATTTGTTTTATCAGACAAATTACTGGTACTGCCAAAGATTTTCAGTGTGAGATTTCTCCTTTGAGAAAAGTGTCCTCATTCCTGCAGTGATTTGGGTGCTTTGTGTTTCATCTCCATAGCTTATTTCCACTCAAAGCTACAAAGATGTAACTTTTTAAAATTTGCATATCCGATGACTCTTGAATTTTACATGTTTTTTCTCTACCAGAAACAAACAGAAAAACAGGTACTTCCATGCCTTTGTCTGTTGAAAGAAAAGAAAAGAAAAGAAAAGAAAAAAAAAAGAAAAAACATTCCCTCTAGACGTTGATGTAAAATAAATGCTTATGACAAACTTTTCTAAATCTGTGTGATGCTTCATTTTCACCAAGAATACTGCAGTTAATTTTCTTTAAGTGCTTAATGTGCTTTCCAATATCATCAGCAGAAGGAAAATACATATTTTAAGAGATTCCCTCATTTTGACATCCAGGAGTTTTCTGGGCTCTGTTGGAGAGTGACCACGACTACCTAATGGCACTTAGGAATATGCTCTTTTAAAGCTGAAACCCTTCTTGAAACATAAGGCACATTTCAGTTGCAGATTTCCATGCCGTAGCTCTCAAGTACTGGGTGTTCGGGGCAGTGTTTCCGCAAGCACTGCTGCTCCCTGGCTGCGGGGCAACACCGACTGAAATCCTCTCTGCACCAAAACCTCCTTCTGTTGCCATTTGCACGGCATTTTGAAAACCCTGTTTTCACAGTGAAAAAAACTTAGAAATGTAACCACTGCACACAACCCACTCGGGGCGGTTTGAGCCACCTCAAGCACAGGAGGCACACCCAAGGCTCAGCAGCGAGCGAAACTCCCCCTGAGGGTCTCAAACACCTCCAGGGCTCCGCTTCCCGAGCGGCCACCCGGCGGTGGGAGGCAGCGGGCGGCAGGTAGAGCCCTGCCCGCCCCCTCAGGGCGGCCGCCATTTGCCCGGCACCTCCCCTCAGCGGAGAGCTCTTCCTCGCTGCCATGCGCGGGGCGCTCCTGCGCATGCGCGGCACCGCCCGACCGTTGGGCGCCCGCTCCGGTTCAAACGGCCGCTGAGGGAGTGGGCGGCTCGTGTGGGAGCGGAGCGGAACCGGAGCCGATTCGGAGCGGAACCGGAGCCAAAACGGAGCCCTGTGGGTGAGTCCAGGACCCGGGAGAGACCAAGGTGCTGAAGGGAGGCCTGGGAGGGAGCTGCGGTGCAGCCGTGGGTTTCGCTCCATGGAGTTTTTGTGGGTGTTCTGGTCCCGTTTTGTTAAACGTCCTTGTAGCGGTTTGCTGCTGTGTGAGGAACCCGTCTTTAAAAGGTAAAATGTGGGGAGCTGGTCCCTAGAGGGCTGCCCAGAGAGGCTGTGGGTGCCCTGGAGGTGTTCAAGGCCAGGCTGGAGGGGGCTCTGGGCAACCTGGTCTGTGGGAGGTGACCCTGCCGTGGCAGGGGGTTGGAATTAGATGATCTTTAAGGTCTCTTTCAACCCAAACTGTCCCATGCCGCTTGAAGAGACTTGCAAAAACACAAACAAAAAAACCTTCAAAAATCCACTGTATCAACAAGGCTTTATGTACTCAAATAGCTGTGGTTTAAAATAAACTTTACAGAGAAAGTTAATTCTCTCTAGGTATTTTAAGGAGTGTGTCTACACTTAATGAAGAGAAACGGAAAGTTCTGAGAACTTTCAAGTGGGCTGTGTATGTTTTACTTCAAGCACTGAACAACTTTGCTTGGAACGCTGTGGCTTGCTGACTACTTGGTGTTGAGATTCCCTTTATTATTGTGCCTGTGTTATCATTTTCAAACTTCATTTCATTAGTGCTAGCCTGATAACTATGTTCTGAGACTGTTTACCAGGGTATACTTACAGCTTATTCTGAACCCTCTATGCTGGGAGGAATGTGAAGATTGCCCTTAGCTGTTGCTACCTTAAATTATCTACTCTAGTCAGATATAACTGTGATCTCAAACTGAAGGTTTATGATCCACTAGTACTGCATATTTTGGTGATCTTCTGTAGACCATAGTGTTTTCATTGTTGTCTTTTTCTTGCAGAAACGCAGATGGCTTTTTCTTCGAAGAAACAATGTGTTGGTAAAACACTAGAGCCAGAGTTCAACGAAGATCCTAATTTTAACTTTACCTCCAGTATTCCAGCAGATGGTGTCTTCAAAGCTACTAATCAAGGGTAAATGAAAGAGAAGTATAGATGGATTTATTACTTGACAAATGTCCTAAAGAAAGTGTAGCATTTCACGGAACCATTTAGCCTTGAAAAGACTCTTAAGTCCAACTAGCCAACATTCCCAAGTACACTAAACTGCATTCCTAAGTGCCACATCTACACACCTCCTAAATACCTCCAGGGTTGGTGACACCACCGCCTCTCTGCGAAGCCCGTTCCAATGCCTAACCACCTTTTCCACATAGAAATTTTTCCTAATATCCAACCAAAACTTCCCTGGTGCAACTTGAGACTATTTCCTTGTGTCCTATCTATCACTTTTCACCTGAGAAAAGAGACTGACATCCTTCTTACTGCACCCTCCTTTCAACTAGTTGTAGAGTAATGAGGTCTCTACTCAGCTTTTTCTCCAGGCTAAATAGCCCTAGTTACCTCAGATGCTCCTTATTTGTATTGTTTTCTAATCCTTTTGCCAGCTTTGTTGCCCTTCTCTGAACACGTCTAGCAACTCAATCTCTTTCTTATAGTGGCCCAAAACTGACCCCAGTACTCAAGGTGCAGACTCACCAGTGCTAAGTACAGAGGGATATTCAGATCTTGTCACATGAAAAGCTTTAGTAATCTGTAAGTATTCAGTGATCTGATAATTGTATTCTACATATCTTTTAAGGATTCCTAAATCTGCCAAGAAAGCGGAGCCACTTCTGAAGAAGACTGCTACAAGAGGGTATGTTTCTTCACATTGTTCTTAGTTGTCCTTGTGCAGTAATGTTCCTTCTCAGAGAGTTATGATGAGCTCTAACCATATGCAGCTTTGTTGCCAAATTTGCTGATGAAATCTCTTGATCAGGAATAAGAGCAAATCCTTCATAGAAGAAAACGTTTGTGGAAGTAAAAGGTGTCTGATATTGATCTTTGTGCACTGAAGCCTTTGATGTTTGACACTATAGGCCTCTGAACAGACACAAACTAGAAGCAGAGCTGAAGGCCAAGAATCAGCTGCTAGAAACAGCCAAGCAGCAGTTACACACCAGACTAACAGGAGCACAGGTAAGGATGGAAATGGGGTAGAAATCATTGAGTAGCTCGTATATTCTGCTCCTCTACAGGGCTAGATCAAAGGACTGGCTTACTCATTTTCCAGTCTTCATTGGAAGCCAGTAGAGTTTGAGTGGGATGGGTTCTTTTTGCCAACAACACCAAAGATATTTGGTAATTATCAGTGCTGCAAATGTATTTGGCTAGATAATGCATCCAGATCGCTGTTAACAGCCACCAGAACTCAGTTCCATCTTGAACTCATTGCAGGAGAATGTTTCCAGTTCAGTGATATACTTGCACGAAATTCTAATAAAAGAACCTCACTGTTACCAGATTCTTCCTAGCTACATGAAGAGAAACAGTACATAATCATTCAGTACTTGACACTGATCATTTGAGATCTATGAATTCTTTTTCATCTTAATATATTATTACAGTAGATGAGCTATTTTGTTTGTTTGATCATCCTTGTCTCACTTGCCCGGTCCTTCCTAGTTCTGTTAACCAGTCACAAGTACGGTGTGCCACAGCACATGGCATTGGAGATGTGGGTTCAGGGGTGTGTATGGTCACATTTTAGTAACTAAGAACATTTGAGTTCTGGTTACTGTTGTGCTCTAAACGTTTGAGTGAGTGACCTCATTCACTTCTGTGTATTCAACTGAGAGATCAGTGTATGTAGCCTTGTTTCCTCGTGTGCTATTGTATCATATTATTGTGTAGTCTTTTAATATCTGGATAAGCTTCTGCAATTTTTTCCCATCTGCTCATCACTGATGAGGAGGCCACACCTGGAGCATTGTATCCAGTTCTGGGTTCCGAGTACAGAAAGACAAAGACATATTGGGGAGAGCCCAATGAAGGGCCACTAAAATGTTGAACGGGCTGGAGCATCTCTCCTGTGAGGAGACACTGAGAGCTGGGACAGCTCAGCATAGATAAGAGAAGGCTTATAGGGAATCTTATCAATGTATATGTGAAGGGAGGCTGTAAAGAAGACTGGTGCCAGGCTCTTTTCAGTGGTGCCCAGTGACAGGACAAGAGGCAGTGGGCAGAAACTTAAACACAGGAGCTTCTGTCTGAACTTCATGCTTGAGCAGGGGTTGGACCAGATGGCTTCCAGAGGTCCATTCCCACCCCAGTGATTCTGTAAAATTCACCAAAGATTTTACTTTCTTGATTCAAGTTTAGATTCAGAAATGGTACCCCATTATTCATCGCCTCTTGCCGATCACTTCAGAACACAGTGCAGCTTCTCTCATGTGCAAGAGGCCCTACTTGTAGCCTTTGGTTGTACAAGCTTGCTTTATTTCCTAGTTCTTGACTGGTTACTAATCTGTGAGATGATCTTTCCTTTTATCTCACAGCTTAATTTCTTTAAGAGCCTTTGAGACCTCCTATGGGATGTTCAAAAAAGCTTCTGGCACTATCAGCGGGATCACCCTAATCCACATGCTTATTGATTCTCCTGGAGAATTACATTCAACTCGTGAGGTTGATCAGCTTATCTGATTGCCTGGTAGTATCTGAATTATGCAGGGAATAATGCTGTGGCCTACAGATTCTAAGATGCCCCTTCCTTCCTGGAGTTAGCCGCTCTTCTATGCATAAAACTCTTGAAATATTATATATAGAGCACAAGAAAATACATGCTAGAACTGCCTAAAAGGAATTTATCTCTAGGCTTTTTTTTTTTTTTTAAGCCATTGCTATGACATGTGCAAGTGATAAATCTTGTCAAGTAGCAGAAGTAAGGGTCTGTTTCTCTGCAGTGGTAGAGCTGGAAGGGTAGGATATAATTCTTGGTACTAGAGGTGCAATGGCAATGTTAAGCCATTAACATTGCACTGAGCATTGCCAATTAACGTGAAAAAATTCCCCCTGGCAACTTGATTCACTTAAAACCTGTGTTAATGACAGAGCACTATAAAGGAATTAAAGGAGAAGAATGAAGGCCTGGTACAAGAAGTCGAGAAGCTCAAGAAGTTTCAGGAGACGTGCATGGTCATTTTAGAAAGCAGAAACATTGATCCTGGTAAGGGCTATGCATTTTACATGCCAGTTCTGGTAGTTCTTCAGAACGCTTTTCCTTTTTCTTTTTCCTTTGTATTTGTTAGTATTCATAAAACATTTGGCTCCTACTTTCCCAAGGAAATCCTGGGGGGGATTTTTTTTTTCTAGTGTAAGAGAAATAGACACTTCCTTCAGGCAGCCCTGTCCTGGATAAATTTTGAAAGCAATTTACTTCTTCGTGCTGTAGAAAGATATTTTGAGAAGCTGTTAGTTCCTACAAGCAAAGTTATCAATGAACATCTAATGTACAGATGTATCTCATAAATCAGTTACAGGCAGCAACATTGTGGAGGAGGAAGAAAAGACGAGGGAATGCCAGAAGCAGACAACGGTAAGAATTTTTGAAATGGCAGTGAGTTAAATGGACTTTGGTGAGAACTTTATGTGTAAAAACAGCTGCTGAGATGTTCGTTCGCATTATATTACACCATTTTCCTTTGGCTCTTCAGCTGTTGACTGAGAAGCTCCTGGCAGAACTGAGGGTATTTAATGAAGCAGCTGAAAAAGAAAAGGAAGCACTTCAGGTAAGGCTGACTTTGTTTCAGAGTCAGACAGGTAGTGAACATCTGGTGCTGAGAGAAATTTTAAAGCTTGTTTTCCACCTCATGCTGCTCTGGTCTCTTGATAGCAAATGCCTGCAGCCTTACTAATCTTCCCTAAGTGCAGTAAGGGAACAGTATGTGTTACTCCACTTCTAAATAGAGGGCTTAGAGCAAAGTCTGGGAGGGGCAACAGTAGTTCTTATCAAAGTCACTTGTAGTTCAATGATACACAATTCAACTTGGAACAAGATAGAAGATGGAAGCGATGCTAAAGACTGATAGCTTTCAAATGAGGCTCGATCAGTTCCTGTGTAAAGATGGTTGTCAATGCTGGAAATGCAGCTGTCGCTGCTTAGAGCAGCTCTTCTCAAGAGGCTTTTCAAGACTGTTGCAGGTGGTTGCAAGCACCACTGGAAAAATGCTGAGAAAACTTGACCTAATCTGAAGTCTTGCAGACTGTTGACCTCAGGGAGCTAAGAAGTATGCAAGCACAAGCAGCTTCAATAATATAATTTGTCTATGTACTGACCAAAATAGTCATTAAATTACAGCTCTGCCATTCTTGGTAAGAAGCTTGAGCTGCTTATTGAAATCACTATTACATAAGGCTAAACTTTTGGTCGTGGTTAAGTTAGCATTTTTCTCAAGGAGTTGTGAAGAGATGAAAAAGTGAAAGATGTCCCAGTCAAGGTAGGCTAACCTTAGCTTAGCAGGTGAGGCTGATAAAGAGTTCAAAAATGTCTGAGTTTTTTTTCCCCCTGTTTTAGTTGCAGCTGCTTTGGAAGTTGAGTTCTGCTATTCTGCACTGTCATGTTTAGTGAGATGTTGTACTGCTGACTTTTCCATACAGATGGCAACGGCTAAGTGGAAACTGGCAGAAGAAACGAGGCAGCAGTCCCTGGAGAAGCATTCTTCCTTCCAAGCAGAAATGCAGGAATGTTCAGCAATACTCACTGAGCTGGAGAAGCTCCTGGCTGCGTGAGGCACAAGAATGGACTGCGCTGCCTTTCCTTGTTTTACTTCTAGTTCAGCGGTCTCTACCCTCAAGCCTGGTCCCTGTGTCGGGTCCAAAACAGTGAGCTGGGCAGGCTCCTGAGCAATCCCTGGTGGAACAGCACCTGCAGTGTGGGAACCAGGCAGCAGCACTGGTGAAGTGCTCAGAGCTCCTATCTTTCCAGTGGGGCTTATCCTGGAATCTTTCTGAGTTATTTTTTAAGTGTTAATAAAGTGTTTTCGATTAAATCTTTCAGAAGGACGTACGGGTGCACAGTCCCCGAGTTCCTTCTTGTTAATGCCGAGGCAATGCTGCATCGTTACTCCCCGTGACCTCTGCCACCACTCGCCCCCAGCCGAGCGGCGGGGCCGGCTGCTGGGCGGGCCGGGCCTCTCCCCGGGGCCGGGCCACGCTTGCGCACCGGTGCCGGCGGGGGGGGCAGCGATGGCGGCGGCGGCGCTGCGGAGAGCGGCGGTGACAGCGGGCGGCGCGGGGCGGCGCCGAGCGCTGGGGTGGCCGCGGCGGGGCTGCGCCGGGCTGGCGGTGGACGATGCCGTCAACGGGCTGAGCGACGAGCAGCGGCAGGTACGGGCGGGCCCGGCCCCGGCCCCGGCCCCGGCCCCGGCCCCGGCCCCGGCCCCGGCCCCGGCCCCGGCCCCGGCCCCGGCCCCGGCCCCGGCCCCGGCCCCGGCCCGGCCCCGGCCCCGGCCCCGGCCCCGGCCCCGGCCCCGGCCCCGGCCCCGGCCCCGGCCCCGGCCCCGGCCCCGGCCCCGGCCCCGGCCCCGGCCCCGGCCCCGGCCCCGGCCCCGGCCCCGGCCCCGGCCCCGTGGCGCGCCTTCCAGCGGGGGTGTGTCGGCCTCGGCGGCTGCTGATTGGCTGCGGCCGCGGGGAGCTGACCTATCCCCGGGGCGCTCCCATGGCGCGCCGCCGCCACGTGTGCGCCCTGCCCGAGGGGCACAGCGGGTGGCCGAGCCCTGGTGCGCAGCACAGGGAGGGAGGGGGCTGCGAAGGGTTGTGGACTCTGCTGTGTTGTTCTCTGGTCATCAAGGGACCTAAAGCTTTAGGGTGTTAGTTCTGAGCTTTATGGTGTCTCGTGTTTTACGCCTTGCCTGCTGCCAGCCGTCATAGTATTTATTCCCGATTGCCCCAGGGAATGGAATGATAGGCAGCGTCTTCACAGGCTTCTGCCAGTGAAACTTGGCCTCGGTGCTTCTCGGATTTGCAGCTATTGCCACACTTGCTGCGTAATTATGACAGTGCAAGTGTACAGGTGTACAAAAAACTTGTTCGTACTTATTTTCTTACTTGGGAAGTGGAGTACTGTAGTACTTACTGCTGTTTGCTTTGCCTGGTTTGTGTTTGTGATTTATAAGCTCACCAGCTTGAATTAACTCGATGTTTCTGTGTGCTTCTAAATTTAACAAGCATAAAAGGGAGAAAATAATCTTGTAACTTGTGTGTCTCTTGTGGAAAAGTTTCTGATCAGAAGATCAGAAACAGATCTTCAGTAATGTTAATCTGTAAATTAAGAGGACTTGTAACTGTTATAAGCTGGTTTGGTGTGTCTGGGATGCCTGTCAGAGTCCACCCCATCCTCCCTCAGTCTCTAATGATTAACGATTTTAAGCTATTATTTTCAAGCTTTATTCTCAAGTTTACTGCTGTCAATTTTGTTACAATGGAAGCTTTAATATTTAAAAAAGGAGAAAAATAAAAAACAAGAAAAGAGAAAAGCCCATCGACAGAGGAATAAACTTGTTTGGTGGTACTGGAATCCAGTGTCTGGGTAGCCATGGAAACTAACAAATCTTTTTGATCTGAAAAGAGAGAAAGGCAGAGCAGCTCAGGCATATTTTGCTTTGCTGCATTTGCTGCTTCTTCAGGTTTTGGTTAAAGAGCAGAGGGTTTCAGTCTCTGAATGTTCCTTCGTCAGCATTAATTTGTGGAATAAAGAATCAAGAGGGAAAAATAGAATTTTTAAGCTCTACTGTACTATCTAGACAAAGTTTTTGAATGTTCACATTAAAAACACATTAAGGTATTTTATAAGCTTCTTTAGTGTGCATATAGACTTCTGCAGAATGCATGTGAGTAATTGGATCTTAATATTTAGAAGAACTTTGAGTTCATCTACATTTAATTAAATGAAGCCACAGGCAGGTACTCGATGGGGGTAATGAATCATGAGCTCGGTTCACCAGTTCTCAAAGTTTCCTGACCCAAACATCCCCTGAAACCCCAGTGCAGGCAGGAAACAGTTCCCCAGCACACTCTCATGCTGGGGTAAGATTAAGTTAACTGTCAAGAGGAACTTAAGTTCTCTCTTGAGGACTTCTCTTAAGACCTCTTGCAAAAAGGCTAAAGAGAGTTCCATATTCTCTTTCAGCTAATAACCTGAAATACTGATTTCCTTATGATCTTGTGCTTCTGGGTTTGAGATCATTGGATCGCCTGTCAGGGGAGCATTGGAAGTATCCTAGAGAAGAAGATGACAATATATTAATGGGGTGTAACGTATGCGTTTCTCCTCACCTCTTTTCCCAGCTTAGGCAGACCATGACAAAGTTCTGTCAAGAGCATTTGGCTCCGAAGGCCCAACAAATTGACCAGGAGAATGAATTCAAAGGCATGCGGGTAAGTATTTCATGCGTGCCTGTGAAATAGATGGCAGTCTGTACTTTGATCTGTGTGTAGGCTCAAACCAGGAATTCCAGTCCGCACCACAGGAAGATACGCATCAACTATTCAAACTTGTAAGCTATAGAGAAAAGAAACAAAACAAAACAAAAACAACCCTTTGCTTTCTTGTTTCTTCTTTTGTTAGTTTTTAACAACTTGGGGAAAGACTGAACTAGTGTCAAAAAAAAAAAAAAGAGATAGAGATGGATTGATAATGGTCTTGTTTGGATTCTCATCGTGGTGTTTCTGCCTGGCCCTGTTCAAAGACTCCTCCTCTAATATGTGTGTTGTACTGTCCTAGCTAGGACTCTTGTTTTGGACAGCCTGGATATCTGAGCTTCCTCTCAAACTTGCTTTGGAAACGCTGTGTGCAAATGCAGAAATGTAGAATGGTTTGACTGTTGAGCTGAAAGTTTTCTTCCTAATAAAACCAACAGACTCTCTGCAATAGGAAGGTTTGATTGATAAAAATGAGAGACCTCGCTGTTGGTTTTCATAAGCTCCACAAGACTTAAAACGTTCAGAACATCTGCTAGGATTTCCTACAGCTCTGATGCTGATATTTTCAGGGCTATGCGCGTGGCTTTGAAGTTAGCTATATAGATTTAGTCTGGCGTACCAGATGTCATCCAGTGCTATTGAATAATACTTTTTAAAGTCTCTGGAGGCTATTTACAGATAACTGTAATCTCTGGCCACCAAGTCCACGTGAGAAGCATTCACCTGCGTGGCCATCCCCTAACAGAGGAGAGCCCGCAGATTGAAGCAACACCAGAGGTGGCTCACCTAGCATGCGTGTCCTTCAATGGTGGTGTCCCTTGCTACTGCACTGTGCCATGGCTTTTCTCTTCCTCTGTAATGCCATGTGCCCTGCACAGCTGATGTGTTTGTCTTGAGCCAGGCAGTGTCTCCGTGCCTCGAGCCGTGTGGCTACAGAGCAGCGGTTAATTGCGTGCTGCTGTTGCAGGACAATAAGCCTGGGCGAAGGGAGGAGCTGGCAGTCAAGGACAGGCTGCCCTCTAGCAGATGGACTTTGTAGGGTGTGTGTCCAGCTGCACACAACTAAGCAGCCTTATCCAGTCTCCACGTGCCGCAGGTCTCCCAGGAGGTTCAGAAGCCCAGAGGCTTGTGTATGGAGTGGCCATTGTGGATTCAGCTCTCTTGGCTTCACAAGTCCAGAGCGTTCACCAGAAATCATCATTTTTTATAACTTTTCTAATACCTTTGCTTACCTCAGCAGTTGCTTTTCCTGACCCAGCTGTAACGTTTCCTTTTTTTTTTTAATATAAGCTCTCACAAAGAGGTTTCCTTGGCTTTACTCACCAGTTTCTGGTTTTACCCTAGTCTTAAATTGTTCAGTGATTGCAACTCTTCTCAGTACTTTCCAGGCCTTCAGTCACGGATAACTTATTCTAGCTGTGGCAATCACAGGCTAATAGACCTACACAGTATTGCCAAAGCAGCGTGACAAGGTTGTGTGAGGTAAAAAGCAAGCATAAATTTAAGACATGACATCCTAAATTACCTTTAGCCAGAAACAGCATACGAAAGCCTAGAATGTTTGAAGGTAATCGAAGGTTTTAATTCACCTAAATTCTTAAACTGGGTAATGTGTTAATATCTTAGGACCTGTCCTTCCCAAATTAAATTTAGGCTTGTGACTTGCCTCCCTGCATAACTGGAGTCCTTAAGCCTGTGTGGCTTCTTGGTTGGAAGCATGGAGCTGCTGCTGCAGGAGGAATGGTACTGATGTGATGATCTCTGAGGTTTCACACAAACGGGGTAAATCAGCAGTGTCCAGTGAGCTACCTGGGAAGACTTCTCACCCTGCTGCCCTGACCACACGTCTGGACTGATTGCTTTTGTTGTGTATTTGTAGGAGTTTTGGAAGAAACTTGGGGAATTGGGAGTTCTGGGGATCACAGCTCCTGGTAAGTGTTTTCCTGCCTCCAACCATCTGCTGGGTGATTCCTCACACAAAAGAGAGACGACTTAAACTCACCGTTTCCAGCTCATAACGTCCTCGTCTGTGATGTGACATCTGTTTTTGTCCAGAAGCTGCTGTTTTCATGGTTTTTAAAACTCTTTGGACACTTCTGTTGTTCTTTACCAAGGAAAAAGGAGCTTGATTCAGTAGACTTCTGGACAATTATGAAATGGCTTTTGCAACTTACAAGTACTGTTCAGAAATGTTTTCTCCAGATATACACATAAAATAAACACATCCAACTTGAATGTGTTTGTGCTTCTCCCATATGAAGTGCTTGCTTCAAGTTTTGAAGCCTGAGAGCTACAGATAAAGGTATCCTAGAGCAAGCATCCATCTCTAATAGAAGAAGTTACAGGGTATTAAACAATGCCGTGAAAAGCTGTGATAGCTAATGGAGGGCTGACAGCATCCAACCCGTCAGAAAAAAAAAAAAATCGGGTAAATCTTATTCAGCCTTGTCCAGGTTAGTTGAAAAGTGTTTTGATTAATGTTACAGATTACTGAGCCTGCCGTGGTCATGCTGAATGCGCTAACGCAGTGTAATGAGGAGAAGCCCTTAGTGGAGAAAAGCAGCCAATGGGGCCTT